CCTAGAGATTTGTTATCTGTATGCATGCGGCATTGCATGTTGTGTTTAGATGATCTTATACAGTTCTACAGTTGTCGTTCGCATAATCCCACACCCAGCTGTCCGGTACGGTACTATCTCAGTATAACAAAAGACAACCTATTATGCATGCACTTCAATACAGTATTAATTAAATCTTACGTATTAACTATATCTCGTTGAATACTGTAGATAGCATGAGAAATTTTGAAAGATGGGGGCTTATCTACAGTACTGTACAGTACTGTACTATATAAGTGCTGACCTATCTCAGAGTATGCAACTTTCTCTTTAATTTTAACAATTCCATGATGTAGAAGGTATTATAGGGGTAAAAGGAATCGATACTTTTGACGTTGACTAAATAACAATCACCTTGACAATAAAGTATCACTAACAATCAGTCGGTAGTTTGCGATCGAAAGGATTGGATCTACATGTAATCTTGAGTATACAGTAATTGCATACTGTAATGATACTACGCTAATCATAGAGTTAGTGTAAACTCTACAAATCTCTAATATTGATTTTTGAACCCTTCCTGCTATAATTGAGCAAATTATTTACTACAGTACTGTATTTAGAAAGGACATAAAATACTCGCAATGACCCAATCCTGTTTTGGCTAAAAGATGGTAGTGAAAAGACATGAAAATGCGAGTGAAAAATCCTAGCGACGCCTATACCGTATGCACTACATTACCTCTACAAGTATTCACTACCGAAGTATTGCACGTGGTTCCATCAGATTTTCCTGTCTGTAGACTGTTGTGACCATTTCATCAAAATAACGTGCTAGTATGCAGAAATTATCCGACCTATAGATTTAATTTCTCTAGTGGTAAATAAGCTTTTCACTAGCGTTGACAGATTTTAAGTAAGCGTTAGTGTGGCATTTAAAAATCTTTTCTAAATGCTGTAAGGAAATGCAAGAGTGTACTGCAACGTCATCTACGTATTATATCCATAATAGTTTAGCCAGAACTATAGGTTAATAATAAAGATTTAAAATCTATTACCGTCTTTGTTAAGCCCGAATGCATAGGCTAAGACAAAGAAATGAAGCATTTTTGTCCATCGGTGGCGAAACATCTTCGTAGCACCATGACAGCACCGTACTGGATAAGCTACGGGCAAGTACAGCTTCTCTTGACGGAGTCCTCATAGAGTCATAGTCTTGGTTCTGTATATACTCGTACAGTACAGTATTTACATACGCAATACTATATTACCACCTTCTATACTAACCAGTAAATCAGTCCATCTAACGAGATAGTTACTTAATTATTACATGTAAGGACTATTAGAAAGAAGAACTTAGTAGAAGAATTTTCTCTAGTAGTCCATGCGTTATATCTTGAGAAAGTACTAATATTACTACTATACAATAGTAAAGCAAGAATGAGGATAGACGTAAACACATGATTGTAAGTTTAATATGAGAATACTTTGAAATTTAATACTCTAACATACGCGAGATTTAAAGGTCCTAAATCGGTTATTAATTAAGCAGCTTCGTTGCCCTCTATGCCACTAAGAAAACTACTACGTTCCAGATATATGATCAGTTTCTGCAGCTAGTAAATAGTTGATCATTCAAGAACGCCTTAAATTTTTTTCGCAAGAGGAAGTTAAATTGTTCAATTACTAATTGGAAACCACTTTCCTCACTGATAATTTGGTGTATAATTAATCAAATATACTCGTTATATAAAGTACACCAAATTTATATTGTTCGAATAGATATTTTTATAAAGATATTCAACCGTTAGTGATTTATTATTCGCTGGAAATACGACAAGACAACAGCCTTTGTAATCAATTGATGACACGTAACGATGATGATAAACAATAATTCTGCTACCACAACAACTCCTATTTTTATAAAAATACTTAGGAAATGAGTATTATATCACTAGTATTTTCCTTTTATAGTGCTTACAGCTGCAATAGTATGTACAATTATACACCTTAAATCTGTTATTCCCTTTGAGATTTCCGTTCTACTTACTAAACATTATTTCACATCAACGTATCTTTACTCCACATCAATACAGTATAGCAGATAAAAATCAAAACATAGAATACACCTGATCTTTAATTTAGTAGTATGTTATCATTAAGCTCACGTCAAACCTTCCGTTATGTAAGGTTTGATGGTCTTTTTTTACACCTTTTGACACTGTACCTGACAAGGTCATAAACCATTACATTCCCCATTACATTAATAATATACAGGTACTAGGTCATATGCAAAACAACTTTTAATTAATTTTTATAAAAACTAGCGATCGTTTACATAAAACGATGATTAAACATACGTACCTCTTATTATCAATACCCCAAGATATGAAAATGAT